CAAGTCTTTTAAGCGGGGTTAAGTCGAGTATTCATTGGTAGTCAGTATCTTACTTGCAGCAGACAGAAATCGGGACTGTTGCAGAGAGAAATTCTGCTGAAATGGACAAATTAACAGTTTGGATGGATGGATGGATGGATGGATGGATGGATAAAACAATACTTTGTTCCACATTGATATATCAATTAAATTATTAATGATTCACTTTAATGGAGGCAAAATTAAAATGTCAACCCATAATCATCATCATATGCTCAGTGTGGATCAATCATATGTCCATCTAAAACAATGATTGTGTTAGATGGACATACTGTATGACATTGTATCATATCGATCACAAACTTGTGAATTGAATTAAAATCGTATCATGACAGATTTGGGGATAGAGAAATATCTTATCGTCATCCAAATAAATCTATTCTATATATCTAATATTGTATTGAGATAGACAGACAGACAGACAGACAGACAGACAGACAGACAGACAGACAGACAGACAGACAGACAGACAGACAGACAGACAGACAGACAGACAGACAGACAGACAGACRGACAGACAGACAGACATCTTTCTTGATTATAAACGCCTCTCTTTCAGATCTAATTGCTTTTGGGGACACTATTATTTAACACTCCTTTTAACTTATCAGCAGTTAATACATTTTGCAGTCAAAACACATACAGGGCTGTTTCACATCAATTAGCTTCAGCTGCACATGATGAAAAGTTCCTAAGCTTGCCAATGTCTTCCAATCATCATCCACACATTTCTGCCTCGGCCGAAGCACTGAGTGCATATGTCAGCTCTGCAACATGAGGGGATAACTTCAGACAAATCAAGAAGACTACCCACACCCCTTGTGAGATCTCCCTACACGAGTGTTTAAGAGTCAGACAGAGAAAGAAGTGCAAAGTTGTGGTTGAAGCGCATTGCTGAGTCCTTCCTTCCTTCCTTCCTGCTCACCCAACTCTTAAATTGTTCTCTGCTGGTAATTAAACTATTAAAACGGATTAATAAGCAAGCATGGCTTTAAACTTGACAGCTGATATGAATTAAGAAAGCATGTGTTCTGGCCTGGTGACCCTAGTGCCGTCCTCTTTGACTCTCACTTTGGGAGCCTTGTTTTCGTTTGCAGACTTTCAAACTGTTTGAATTTTTCCAATTTCCCTTTTTCTGAAATGTCTCTTTTTTCATTTTCTCGGCTAGTTTTTTAACTCAGAGTTCAAAAACTAAGCATTAGGAAAATAAGGACATTACAACACTACCCACTCAGGACATTTTAGATATGTAAAAGAGATTATTGATCAGATTTCTGTGATTTCCTCGTCTAGGGAGAGCACTCGGGGGAAGTTGGCCTGAAGTCCTTTAAATCTCTCTCACATTTCCTCTGCAGGATGACTGAGCTGACAGAGGTTTAAAACATCAGCTACTTTCTGTAAACACAGACAGGCAGACAAACTCACATCACACATCTGTTCGTTGCTTTGCTCTCCAACAATCACGGACATTGTTAATCCTCTGCAAGTCTGGTGACTGCCCATTCAGTAAAAATASCACATTAACCCTTAACCTTACACTGACATGACGAAGACCACCTGCACTGAGCTGTGGCATTACATAGTGAACTTTTAACAAATTTAACGAACCAAAAAATAGGCATTCAGAAGACAAATGTTGTATAATTAGAAAGCTGGCAGGTGGTTTAACTTGATTTTCCACAGGGCTAAATTAAATGTCAGTAATGCAGTGGAGTAGAGGAAAATAACTACACAGCCACAAGTTTTATTAATTTGTGGTGGGACCCATTCAAAGAACTAAATGCTGACTTTAAGGGATTTATTTCACTACAAAATGTGCTGAATTCTCCGTGTCCTTTTAACAAGAATATTATTCACATTTCTGATAAAAAAATTGTGATTTTTTTTTTAAACTGGCTCTTCTTAAGTAACACGACGAGTGTCGATTAAAAAAATGATTCTACCTAAAATATATTAAAGGTTTAGGAAGAGATAAGAATTTAAGAAAACATAAGATGTCAAGTAAAGTTTAAAGATGAGAAAAGTTTTTGTAAAGTTATTCTTGACCTATAAGAGTTTCTATCATTCATGATTTTCAGTAGGCTAAACAAAAATCTGATCCTGAACTAAAAAGTTACTTTGATCATTTTGCAAAGGTTATATTTTAATCTGTACACATTGATAATGTTGGATATTTTGTGAATGATTAGCTGCACACTTTTTTGTTATACATTGGTATCAGTTGTAATCATTTAAATCTCTTTAAACAGAGAATCAACACGTCTCTATTTAGTTTTAGTGGTTGTTTCTAGAACTTACTTCCATGTTTATGATATCATATCCAGGGTGGGACTTGACTCTGGATGAAGGTTTTTTTTATTATTATGTGTAGTTCGCCCTATGTTGGAGATTTCAGGAAGTGGATCAGATCTGAGTTATGTGTGGTAACTTTGCACATCTGTAAATAAACATTCAAGTCTTAGAACTGAATATATCTCCTGGGTATAGCTTGATCGCTCATTTGAACATGATCGTTCACACCCATAAGGGGATTATCTCATTTTGGTTTAATTTGTCAGAACAGATGAGCCAATATTGGACCCAATGTGAGGGCACACACAAATTTTATGAAGGTCCTGGCCACAAAAGACCGACCACATCAACGGAGGATTGTTGTGTTGGGTGCAAAGCTTCACAGAACCTCATGGCATCCATACTAGCCTATTTAACTTTCTACAACACCCTCTGCATTCATCTATGAAGAACTGACATCAGCTGGATCAGGTTGTTTTTTAATTATTTTTTAAATAGCTGACACTGTCAGGTGTTAAAAGGTCACAACATACCTTCAATGTTCCAATCTCATATTAGTGAAAATTAGTGGTGTTCCGATCGATCGGCCACCGATCGATATCGGCCGATTTTCGTGAAAAAGTACGGGATCGACATTTTCGATAAATGCCTTCCATTGCCAATCACAAAAGCTGATAATCTGGCAGAGGCTGATAATCTAGCAGAGGCTGTGTGTGTGTGCAGCACTCAGTGTAGTGTCTCCATCCCACTTTCACCCTGCTCCCGACCTCCCGTGCACTGGAAGAAATTGCGCAGGTGCGTAGAGGGAGCAGATCTTTCTGTGAGAGTGATGCAAAGTTTGCAAACTGCAAGACGTGCAACAAAAAATACATCATGGAGGAAGTATGGTAAAATCCTTCAACACAGCAAACTTAATACGGCATTTAAAGAACAAGCACTTGGTGGAGTATGATGAGTTTTCAAGGCTTGCAGCAGAGAATGAAAAGATACGCGGAGCAGCATCAGTCAGACAGCAGTTAGCACAGCCCACACTTGCCAACACTTGTACGACCGAGACAATCACTCCATCTGATCAGTATCGGTGATCGGCAGTGATCGACACTCATAGGTGATCAGTATCGGAATCGGCAGAATAAAACCTGTTTGGAGCATCTCAGTGAAAATCATTGAACAATACACTTGAAACAATACAAACCTGTTTTAACTGGACACTAGGTGGCTGATTTTCAGAACTATGTGGAGGTAGATGAGAAGCTGATCTTTTCTACGTCTCGGTCGAWCTCTGATCTCTCAAAATTAAGGAATCGGTTCTGATGAATCGGCCACTCGATTTATCGGTGCACCCCTAGTCTGCATATGAATTTTTTTTAAACAATCCATTTAAATAATTAAATATTTCAAGAAAATGGTTGGGACCACTGATGTAAAACTTAAGACAGCACGGACAACGCAACGGACCAGTCCTTTCAACGTGAAGAAACACAGCATCACTACGCCTTGCATGAACTTCAGGGGACCCTGAAGGCACAGCACGAGTGGCATCCAGCATTGAGACAGCACCCTGGTACAGTCTTTCAACAAGAGGTTCCTGCATCATGTTAATGTCCTCCCATGGCCAGACAGGTTTTCTGATCCAATCAAAGGTAAGAAATCAGCTTAAATATCAGATACAACTCAGTGCCACTTAACTGGATCTTGAGGGTCAATTGCAATAGAGAGAATACAACTGTATGACTTCATTTTGCATCAAATTGTCACTTCTATCAGACTCAGGGAACACCACACCCTACTGACACAGTGTTACCATACAGCCAGCTCTGTTACCTGTAAATTTAATAATCACTGCACATCACAGTTTCATCTCATTACCACAACTTTCTCTGGGTGCTTATCATACTTTGTATGTATGTAAAAACAGATAAGATTTTGCACAAAAGCACAAATCAATGCAACTTTGACCACTACTTTCATCTAAAAGGATGTGTTTAGAACCATAAAATAATAGTTCTCTAATCCTTTGCACCATAAATAAGTACCAGTAAGAAACAGAAACCTAAAAGCCAGAGCACTCTGGCAGGAGATAAAACAAATTCTTCGGTCTTCAAATGGAAATGTATGAAATATAAGTGGGAAGTGAAGTAAAAACAACCACAGTTTAAGGTAGTAAATTTTGAAATGACAGCGGCTTTTAAGTACACGAAGATACCAAAGAAACGTGATTTAAAAGAGGACGTGTGTCTTACTGGGAGTTCGAGAGTTAAAAGGTGAACAACTGCAAAAGTAGCCCTAAACTCACAAAAACACATCAGCGTCTCACCTCTCTGACTCTTTTGGCACTTTGTTGGAAGTGATCTGTTCTTGTAGACATCTTACCCTTATTTAAACAGACAGGCTGCTTATTTAACATCCACACTTAATAAGATCAGCAGGAACTTCAGGCCATAATCCTAATGTGAAGACTAAAATACAAACAAAGGGCTCTAAAGCAACACATGGTGCACATGAAGGTTTTGTGTTACTTATAAAAATGTGTAGCATGATCTTTCAAAGTACTTCTACATGAAAAATAAGGATWTTTGTTGCTATAATTTAAAAGCTCTTTGATAGGGGGTGTAAAAAGGAAAGAATTAGGTGATTATGGCTTTGTGAACTGAGGTAAAACTACCTACCAGTGCATTCGTGCTTCAGACCCTTTCCGTAGTACCCCTTCTCACAGATGCAGTCATACTGCCCAGTGTGAGTACCACACTTACAGCTGGCCATCACATCGCAGCAGTCCTTACCCGCCTCACACAGAGAGGAGCAGCGTGACAAATCGTCCTGGATGTAGCTGCCTGTGGGCAGATCTGAGGATAAAAACAAGTAAAGGTTAATATACAGTATATGAGATTTATTAAACCATCATTTTGGAAATCAGATAAACTACAATCAGCTTTGATAAAAAGTAGATTTTTTGAGTTTCTTTTGGCACAATTTTAAAAGTACACAATGAAAGTCCTGAAACACTCCCAAAATTACGTTTTTTTTAAAGGAAACCAAAATTACAGACAAAAAAATATTGTACCAGTTGGACAAAATCTGGTTTTAGGAGCAGAAATGCTGACAGAAATGTTTGACTCAAATTCTGCTGTTTTCATCAGTTATGAAGGTAAATCTTACAAAAACACACAAATTTTATTTTTAAAAAGAACTTTTGCAAAGCTTGCGCCAGAGCAAACAATTCCCAATAAAAAAACCCAAAATGAAATAAGAACACTGGCAGTGCTGTGAGCAGCTAAAATGGGAATGTAACTTGGATTTGAGCCGGGGGGCAAACTTGTCTTTGATTCTGCTGCCATGCCCAAAACATAAATTAAGATTTACTTCAAGAAACGGCTTTCTTAATTTGTTTATTGCAACGGCAGAAAGGCTGAGAGGGCTACAATTTCTCTGGCATAGGTTCATAATTCATGTGGCTCCGTGTCTTAAAACATGAATGTTTGCCTCAAAGAATAGAGGCTGAGTTGATGGGATTGAGAGCGCTGGATTTCATTTTTGCAAATTAGCCACATCTAAAATTTTAGACAAATGAACATCTAGTAGCTCTGAGCTCATGTACGTCATTTATAGCTCACTATAAACTTAATGTATTAACTGTGACACTTTCTTAATGTTTTAAACTAGTGGTGTCCCAGTATCGGGCTGGATACCAGCCTTTTTACAAGTACACATACAAAATGCCCAATACTCTGAATCGAAAACAATATCAATACTGTGATGCTGGTATTGATGATACGCCTTTAAATGTGTTACAGTTTACACTTCAAGTGAAAAGTTTCAGTTCCATGTTTAAGAAATTTAAACAAGCTGAAAGAAAATCTTGTTGGTATTTTTTATTTATTTTAGCATGTTTCAACAATATATCATGTTGTGTATACATGATTTGATCCAGTCAGAGGAGCTGTAGGTCTATAATTAAGGAGAAATAAAAGTATAAAAGAAATTGCATTTTTAAAGTCATTGTGTAATATTTGAGTTGTAATCCAGCAAGTACTCGGTACGGAYGAGTAACCAAACTGAAGTACAAATACTCGGTTCAATGAGAAAAACTGGCATGAGACATCTCTAGTTTAAACCCTTCAAGGAATCCTTCTTTCAACCAAATTTTGTAAAGTTTTTGTCCACTGTGAGAAAATGGCTTTACTTTTTTCAAGTATGGAAGTTGGCAGCACAAACAGTAAAAAGCATGAGAAATGTATGTTGTCTAATTTTCTATGAATTATTACCATCTTCCTTTTAAATAAACACTGAATCTTTGCAGGTCAAAACTGTGGTGAATTAAAACTGCTTTGGGTCAAACGATGATGGGAGAGTTGGGACTTCAAAGGCTCGGTCAAAAAGACATATTGACTTTATTTTCTATTTGCCAAAACATTAGATACATTTTGACCAAAATAATTTGTGAATGTGTGAACTACAAGGTTCCCTTGAACTATAGCTTATTTAATTTTTACTAAAGACCAAATTATTGCAAAGAAGAGGCAAATTGGTCTAATGAATGTGACTAATCAATGTCTCTTCTTACTGCAGTGCCAGAGGTGAAAGGCTGACTAAAGTACACAGAGCAGAGAAAGGATGAAGGATTGTTTCAGCTGCATTTACTCATACACTCACCGGCCACTTTATTAGGTACACCACGCTAGTAACAGGTTGGACCCCCTTTTGCCTTCAGAACTGCCTCAATTCTTCGTGGCATAGATTCAACAAGGTGCTGGAAGTATTCCTCAGAGATTTTGGTCCATACTGACATGATGGCATCACACAGTTGCCGCAGATTTGTCGGCTGCACATCCATGATGCGAATCTCCCGTTCCACCACATCCCAAAGATGCTCTATTGGATTGAGATCTGGTGACTGTGGAGGCCATTTGAGTACAGTGAACTCATTGTCATGTTCAAGAAACCAGTCTGAGATGATTCCAGCTTTATGACATGGCGCATTATCCTGCTGAAAGTAGCCATCAGATGTTGGGTACATTGTGGTCATAAAGGGATGGACATGGTCAGCAACAATACTCAGGTAGGCTGTGGCGTTGCAATGATGCTCAATTGGTACCAAGGGGCCCAAAGAGTGCCAAGAAAAGATTCCCCACACCATGACACCACCACCACCAGCCTGAACCGTTGATACAAGGCAGGATGGATCCATGCTTTCATGTTGTTGACGCCAAATTCTGACCCTACCATCCGAATGTCGCAGCAGAAATCGAGACTCATCAGACCAGGCAACGTTTTTCCAATCTTCTCTTGTCCAATTTCGATGAGCTTGTGCAAATTGTAGCCTCAGTTTCCTGTTCTTAGCTGAAAGGAGTGGCACCCAGTGTGGTCTTCTGCTGCTGAAGCCCATCTGCCTCAAAGTTCGACGTATTGTGCRTTCAGAGATGCTCTTCTGCCTACCTCGGTTGTAACGGGTGGTTATTTGAGTCACTGTTGCCTTTCTATCAGCTCGAACCAGTCTGCCCATTCTCCTCTGACCTCTGGCATCAACAAGGCATTTCCGCCCACAGGACTGCCGCTCACTGGATGTTTTTTCTTTTTCGGACCATTCTCTGTAAACCCTAGAGATGGTTGTGCGTGAAAATCCCAGTAGATCAGCAGTTTCTGAAATACTCAGACCAGCCCTTCTGGCACCAACAACCATGCCACGTTCAAAGGCACTCAAATCACCTTTCTTCCCCATACTGATGCTCGGTTTGAACTGCAGGAGATTGTCTTGACCATGTCTACATGTCTAAATGCACTGAGTTGCCGCCATGTGATTGGCTGATTAGAAATTAAGTGTTAACGAGCAGTTGGACAGGTGTACCTAATAAAGTGGCCGGTGAATGTAATCTGGCATGGTGAGTATTTCTAACAGTTATTTATCTTTTCTCTGCTTTCACTTGCAATTTGGAGAGTAAATCTTTTGAAAAGAAATCACAGACGTTTAATAAAATTGTGCTAACACACTGATAAATATCACATCTACTCCAGTAATCTCGCTCACTCGTTCTCACCTTCATGCAGGGCGTGACGAGCCAGAGCCTCAAACTCAACAAAGTTGTGCACCAGGTAGCAGTGTTGGTCTTTAGGGTGGGAGGCCATGTCATGGAGCTCCCTGATGTTTCCCTGCCAGATGCCCAGAGTGAAGATCTCAACGCCTCGCTCCCTCAGAGCTGCCGCCACCGGCCGAGGGTCTCCACCATTAGAGTAACCATCGGTGATGAGGAAAATTACTTTAGTGGCATTACTACGGGACTGACGAAGGATTTGCTGTAAGAGAAGAGAGATATTTATTTATTAATGTGAAAAACTGACAAAAACATAAAAAAATAAAAAATAAGTAGGTCTTCTGGATGGGTTCTTCTTTAGTGAAACGTTTCGTCTCTCCTCCAAAAGACTTCTTCAGTCTGAGTTTCAGGTGAACTCAGCCTTAAAAGCACTGCCTCCACATGGACAAACAGGTTAGTCATATGCAAAAGAGGGCCATCGCCCTTAAAGTTTAAGGTTTTTCGGGTACATCTTTCTGGAATAAGAAAACCCAAACCACATTGGAGAGACAGAAAACAGTAAGCTAATGTTAGCTTTTTGTTGTTGGAAGTGCACTACTGTTGTAGTGTAGTTAAACTCATATGAAAAAAAATAACAGTCGGTGCAAATGATTCACAAAATGATAATCTCATTTGTGTGATGTAATTCCCGGGTCAGTGAACCAGTCAATGAGCAGAAGTAGCTAAAGTCAAATCGAGTCGATTTGCCATAATTTTTGCCGAACTGCCATATGGCCTAATGAAAACAAGCTAAATCCAGGTGAAACCCAGCAGCCCAGACCTTGCAGTGCAAAAAGGCCTTCTGTGACTCAACTTTGGACAAGTGGTCAAAAATTGAAGATTGGATTAAAGATATTCCAAAGACTAAAGCAATATGAAACTGAAAAGCTTCAGGTCCATTCAGCAACTTCTCTGAAGGGTGGGAGGTAAGTTTAGGACCAGAGTTGTAAAGTAACTAAGTACAAATACTTTGTTACTGTACTTAAGTAGAAATTTTTGGTTATATGTACTTTACTTGAGTAATATTTTTCAGCATACTTTTACTTTTACTCATTACATTTTTACACAATTATCTGTACTTTCTACTCACTACATTTTTTGAAAAAAGGTAAGAAGTAGAAAGTCGTTACTCCTATTTTATTCCGAGTTGTTATTACTTAAAAAACTATCCTGATAAATTTTGTCTCCTGGATAGAGAGAATTTAATTGTGATTGGATGAGAAGTATAAAAAATATATACTATTCTGACAACCTATTAGCTTGTACACAACCCATCACAGCTGCACGCCGTTAGAAAAAATATGTTTTGGAGAAGTCACCTCCCAATAAATATCATTTTGGAAAATCTAACTGCTCACTTTTACTCAGTACTTTTACTTTTAATACTTAAGTAGATTTTGTGTCAGAAACGAACTTTTGATACTTAAGTACAAAAAATATCAGATACTTTAAGACTTTTACTCAAGAAATATTTTTAGAGAAGACTTTAACTTTTACCAAAGTATTTTTGTGATAAGATACAGTACTTCTACTTTTACTCAAGTATCACTTTGAGGTACTTTATACCAGTGGTTCCCAAACTTTTTATCTTCTGACCCACAAACTATCCATGGCAAAAACTTGTGACCCCAAATATTACCGGTCTGAGTACACGAACTTCGTTAATAACCCTAAAAACACAGGCTTTTTGACAATCTAAACAGCTTGTAGACAAATGTAAATACTTATTTATACTTATTTTG